TATCCATCCATCCATCATCCATCTACCTCTCATCTATATCTATCCATCCATCCATCATCCATCTAACTCTCATCTTTCCATCCATCTATCATCCAACTCATCTTTGTATCTCATCCATACATCATACATCTCTCATCTATCCATCCATCTATCATCCAACTCATCTATCTTTCTATCTCATCTATCCATCATCCACCTACCTCTCTCATCTATATCTATCCATCATCCACCTATCATCCACCTACCTTTCTCATCTATCTATATCTATCTATCCATCTACCTCTCATCTATCCATCCATCCATCCACATGGATGGATGGACCACATGACCCTGGAGGTTCCTCAACGGTCATAAGTGCAAAAAACCACCCAGTCATAAATCGTTTATGGAAACTAATCAAGGAGAGAAGCACGCTGGAATTAAGGAGGAACTTCCTAACAGAGAAGACAATTAACCCATGGAACAGCTTGCCACCAGAAGCTGTGGGTGCTCCAACACTGGAGGCCTTTAAGGAGAGATTGGACTGAAATGCTCTAGGGCCTGTGATGGCAAAACTATGGCACACGTGCCACAGGTGGCATTTAGAGCCCTCTGCGTCATGCGAGCCATTGCCCCAGCTCAGCTCCACCGCGCATGCGTGTGCTCCTGCCAGCCAGCTGATTTTGGGGTTTCTGTCATGCATGCGTGGAGGGGGACACATGTGGGAGGTGTGTGCACATGCGTGAGAGGTGGGAGCCGTGCAGGGGGGGGCGTGCACCCCCATGTGTCCTGTTTTTGGTCTCAGGAGGCTGCAGGGAGGCCTGCTAGTCCCAAAACGGAGTGCACCGTGTGTATGTGTGTGCGACATGCGCATGTGGCCAGGCACACGGGAGTGTGTGTTGCGCGTGCATTGCACTATGGGTGTGGGCTCGCGACAACAAAAAGATTAGTCATTACTGGTATAGGGCCTCCTGCTTGAGCAGTGGGCTGGACTAGAAGACCTCCCAGGACCCCTTCTCTTTGTCCTCTGAAAAGGAATGTATTTTTCTGGCACCATCAGCAAAAGACAAGCTTTTTTTTTTTTTTTTGCAACCTTCCAGCTGTCCCTGCTGGAAGGCATCAGCAGCAGCTGTTTGATGCAGGAGAGATTCTTAGCAACATCTGGCAGGTCTCTTGCGGTTCGGATAATGCTAATTGCCAGCTTATTATTAAGAAGGCCCGTCTCGTTTGGCTTCAGGCATCGGCTTTTTCACTCCAAGCAGCACTGAGAGAGAAAGGCTGCCCCAAACTACCACTAAAAGTAAAATTCAGACAGCTGGCCATTGATTCATACTTATGACCGTTGCTGTACCCCAAGGTCATGCGAACCGGTGAACCCAATTATTATTATTATTAGGAGCTAGCGATGAAGTGGACTGAGTCGAAAAGCTGGGTAAGGCTAGCAGCGGGGGCGTGTCTTACCTATCTTTAATCAGACTCAGTCCAATCCGAAGGCGGACAATTTCAAGCCAGGCATTTGATGCGATCTCCACCTCTATGGAGAACTGGTTCATACTTACAACCCCTGCTGTGTCCCAAGTGGGCGGTGCTCACACTTACGACCTTTCAAGCCTCGTGTGATCAGAATTCAGATGGCTGGCCATTGATTCATACTTACGACTGCTGCTGTGCCCCGCGATCATGGGCTCTCCCTTTGGCGATCTTCTGACAAGCAAAGTCCATGGGGAATCTGGATTCACTTAACAACGGGATTACTGAATTACCAACCGCAGCGATTCACTTTACAACGGTGGCAAGAAAGATCGCAAAATGGGACAAAACTCAATCGCTGTCTTGATCAACAATGGAATTTTTGGGGTCAATGTTGGTCGTAAAGTCGAGGACTTGCCTGTAAATACCATGTAGTTCCTGACTTATGAACATAATGAGGAGAGGAAACCTGGTTGTTCAAATCATTTCTTTTGCGTGTTGAGGCAACCACGTGATCAAAAGTAACTTTACGCCCTTGTCCCGGGAGTCATTAAGCAAATAACGCAGTCATTAAGTGAACCCATTGGTTTAAATGGGTGGTTTTTGCCAGAAACCAGCAAAAATGCTGGAAACCGGCAAAACAAATATATCAACTTACGACCACAGTGGAACCCAAAATTTCGGTTGTTAAGCGAGACATTTGTCAAGTGAGTTTTGACCCATTTTACGACCTTTCTTGCCACCGTGGTTAAGGGAATCAATGTCGTTGAAAAGTGAGTAACACATTTCTTAAGTCAATGTGTCTTCCTGATTTTGTTTGTCAAAAGGTCGCAAAAGGGGACCACATGACCCTGGGACACGGCAACGGTCATAAGTGGTTAGGGTGCAGTACTGCAGGCCACTTCAGCTGACTGTTATCTGAAGTTCGGCTGTTCTAATCTCACCGGCTCTGGGTTGACTCAGCCATCCTTCCGAGGTGGGTAAAATGAGGACCCGGATTGTTGGGGGCGATATGCTGACTCTGTAAACCGCTTAGAGAGGGCTGAAAGCCCTATGAAGCGGTATATAAGTCTAACTGCTATTGNTGACACACTTTCTACAATTTGTAATGGAAGATGGTTTTGTGGTGTTTTTTGTGTTTTGTTTGTCTGTGTTTATTCAAAAATAAAAAAATTATTTAAAAAAATTTGTCAGCATATTGCCCACAACAATCTGGGTCCTCATTTTACTTACCTCAGAAGGATGAAAAGCTGAGTAACCTTGACCCGATCAGGACTGAACTCCTGCTGTGGTCAGAATCAGCCTGCAATACTGCACTGTTACTGCTGCACTACCAATAGCATGGAAGCACTAGTGCTTCCATGCCATTGGATATAAAGGGCTTTTCCATTTAATCGAAGTACCTGTTCCTAATATTTATCCACTGTGTGGATCTTCCCTAACCTCAGGATCCTCCAAGATAGACTCAACTTCCATATTTCCTCAAAGAAGGAATTTGGGAAATCATAGCTGGAACAGTACCCTAGTTGGGGAAAGCTAGTAAATCTTGTCATGCATCAATATCCTTTAAGTATTCTTATACACCAGCGATCCTAGTCAACAGTCATAAGGTATAAATGTTGTTATCTAAAAGCTTTTCAGGGTACCGTGTCTCCATCTTGGCCTAATTACACTATTATACCTACCATGGAGAAAGTCTAGGAAGTCTAATTAAAGTTTAATTCATTAATTATTTTAACTGATGAGAATTCTCTATCAAAATAGAAAGCTGAAAACTTGTACTCAGTGCATTCAACATCTTTAAAGTATATAGTTTTCAATCACTGATTAGAATAAAACCTTTGTTTAAGAGATACTTCAAATTCTTGAAAACACTGGCATTATTCAGGCCACTTACATTTATTAGCATGATACAGAATGAGGAAATAAAGTGACAGATGAAGCATGAAATGAAAACAATAGAAGGATACTAAAGTGAAATTTATTTTGTATAAAGAATTATAAAATAGTTAAGAATAGGGAGATGCAGAAACATTAAGATATATTCAAAGGAAGGAAGTGATGGCTCAGCAGTTAAAGATGCTGAGCTTGTTAGCTGGAAAGCCCAGGCCAATCTAGGTTCAAGATCCAAGCATTGGTCAATTGGGGGTGGGGGGAAGCTCCCATTACCTGCCACAGTTTCTACCCACTTAGCAGTTTGAAAGCTTGCAAATGTGAATAGATAAATAGGTACCACTTTTGTGGGAAGCTAAAAGTGTCCCAGCATAGTCATGTCACACAACTATGGAAAATGTCTTCAAACAAAACTGGCTCTCTCACAACTAAGAAAGGGAGATGAGAACCACCCTTAGAGCTGTAAACTACTGGACAAGGGAAACCTTTATTTTTACATTCAAAGGACCCAGTATTTTTATAATTCCAATTTTGGAAATGAATGGAAAATCATTATTTTTCCAATTGTAAAAATTGAAATTCAACTCTTCTTAGAGTTCAAGATCTGGGACCTAATCCAGTGAAATTTCATTCATTTTTGTCCCAATCCACCACAATCACATAATATATAACAGTGGAAGCTGGCAAGAAATCTCTGGTGTTAATTTGAAAACACAGCTTTGGCATTAGTACCTTACCTAGAATCAAAACAAAAGCCTGTCCCACGTTCACGTAAGTGCGGTTCTGATGGATCTGGAGCTGAAGGTGCACTTGCTTCATCAACCTAAAAAGGAAGTGTTTGATTTTATTGAATGTATTTTTTTTCCTCACAGAATTGTTGTCATTTTTATTATTACTATGGCTACTTAAATTAACAACCAACTAAATAATGCATGAGATATTTGTGTGAAATGGCATTTATCTTACAGATTCACATTGTTGAGACTGTCATTTTCTTTGTTGAAGCAAAGAGCAACCAATGCTGCCTTGAAGCTTTTCCTTGTCTCATCCCTGTTGCTTGCAAATGCAGAAGAGCAAAAGTCTCTTAAAGGACCTGCTGAGGATGTAAGCTGTACATTTTCTTGCAATACCATTAAAACTTGGCAAGTGCTGCTGAGGAAGCTATTATGGGAACCACTTGCAAACACACCCCTTCTCTTTTAGAAATGAAGAGAACATCCTGCATTGCAAAACACTACTTCAATAGAAAGACTAATACTTTGACTAGCAATTTTAACACAAATGCCTTGGGACTACAGTCCTACATAGCTCCTCAAAATAAAAAGCTGTTTTTCATAATACAAAGTAAAACTCCCTATAGCTCCAATTGGATCACCAATAGTGATGAATATTGGAAATTTCATTCTGGAAAGATATTTTTTCAAAACATTCATTTAACAACAAAATGGTTTGCAGTATTACAGAAATAACAAAAAGAACAAGAAAAATATACACCAAGGCAGCAAATTTATACATGCTCTCAACTATTCCTCTATTACAACATGAATACAATATGTATTCATTACTCCAAAGTTATGTTTTATTTATATGATTATAATTGTAGCCATAATTAAGTCCATGTAAGAAAGGTATTTAGGTGCACCTAATTTATTTTTTATCTCTGAAATAAACTCTGCTTGAAAAGGCCCTTCAACTACTAAGCCAGCAGTCCTCAAACCTTTTAAACAGGGGGCCAATTCATGGTCCCTCAGACTGTTGGGGAGGGGCAGACCAGCTGGATGGGCATGACAAAGTGGTCGTGTGACTGGGTGCACATGGCCAATATAGTATAATTATACAATACACACAAATTAAACTTTAATTTGTTAAGCTCTTGGGAGTGGAAAGCAAGTCAGTGAAGGGATGTGGCTGCTTTTGGGGAGGGGAGCTATGAGGAACTTCTGTTTGTCTCTGTCTCTGTCTCTGTATCTCTCTCCCCCTCCCTAAATCTCTCTGCCTCTCTGGAAGCCAGGGAGGCCAAAGATGGACCTCTTTTTGACCTCCAGAACCATAGTGCCATCCCAAAACAGGCCTGTTTTTTGCCTCCCCAGCCTCCAGGAGGTCGATGGAAGCGGCAGAGCAGGTGGGGCAATGTGGACGGAACAGCTTTGTGGTCCCGTTGGGATGGATTAATCCTTCGGCAGGCCATATCCGATCCACAGGCCTTAGTTTGAGGAGCCCTATACTAAGCAGTTGGCAGCACAGGGTCAAAGCATATCACATAAAAATTCAATTAGGATTAGGAATAAAATTATTTTATGTCAGTATTACACTAAAGCATTTTTTTAATTAAGAGAAATAATGAACAGCTTTACTGATATTTTTAACCCTTCTACCAGGTATCATATACATAAAAACATTTTTTTTGCTTATTTTAAATGAAAATTACTTAATCAGCTGTGTTATATTGGTGCTTGTCAGATTCCTATTTATCAGTACAAAATAGTTAGCATCCTATTTTTTCCGCTAAATACTTTGCCTAGCCAGTTAATTCCTTTTTCTATTGACAAGTTGAAAAGCCATATTATAATGTCTATTTGATGTAAGATGAGAACCATTTCTGAGAAGAGACATATACTTGCCCAAAGTTAGATCTCATTTGGGCACATTAGGATCCTAATGCCTCATTACAAAAACTAAGCTATGTCAGCAAATGAGCACAAGATTTAAGCTCTGTTCCTCTTGGGTTTGCAAAAGGGTAAAGCACATAGATTAGAAAGAACACTCTCCTAATTAAACTGCAGCAAACATCTAGAGAGAAAAACCTGTCACCCCACAGTAGTATCTATGCCAAGAATAGTCACATTAAATATGCAAAATGTGAAATAAAGGTAGGCAGGTACACTACGCTTACATTCAAGATGTTAAATAGGCCAAAAAAGTTCTGAGAGTTTCCTTAATTATTCCCAGTAATGGACTCAGAAGGCAAAAGGCAAAAAGAGGAAATAAAGTTTTCTTCATTAATAGTACTGTGCACCAAGACTAAAATTCTGCTCTCTGAACACTGATCAGTTTCACAAAAGATTAATAGCGATTAACTGTGGCAAACTGGACTAACAGGTCATGATATCACTATATTTGCCACAGTAAAGGATTCTTAAAAAATAATTCTTATTCAAGAGATTCTAAAAGACCACAAAATAATAGTTATCTATTTTACAGCTTTATCACATTTTATTTGAGCTAACAAATGTCTTTATGCAAAATAGGCATTTATAGAAATTAGTATGTTCATGTTACTGGTAATTGTCTTTATTCAGAAATATTGAAATAAAATCCTGATCTGAATTTTCGTGACCCGTCAAAACCGAGCTCGACTAAACCGCGCTGATTAAACCACGTCGCTGACGTCATCAACAGTGCGGAGAAAGAAGGGCGCTTTAAATAGCGCTTTGAAAGCAAGCCGATTCAACTTAAGGTAAGGGTTAGGTTTAGGGTTAGGTTAAGGGTTAGGGTTAGGTTTAGGCTAAGGGTTAGTATTAGGTTTAGGGTTAGGTTTAGGGTTAGGTTAAGGGTTAGGGTTAGGTTTAGGGTTAGGTTTAGGGTTAGGTTTAGGGGGGGTTAGGTTTAGGTTTAGGTGTTAATTTTAGGTTTAGGGTTTACAGCGTGCTTCTGTCTCCGCGCTGTTGTCGCCCTGTTGATGACGTCAGCTACGCGCTTTAGTCGGACACGGTTTAGTCGAATGCGGTTTTGTGGTGGAACCCGCAAGGGGTTGCCCTGTCAGCTCCAACACATATGCGCATGCTGGCTGTATAATTTTCGACCTTCATTTTTGACCGTTTTCCGCCTGCCTCCGGAAGGCAAAAAACCACCCAACGCACAAACCGGAAGTTTGGGAAAGGACTTCTGGTTTGCACATTGGTCTGCTTTTTGCCCTCCAGTGAGCCCAGTAGGTCCATTTTTTGTCCTCCCCAGGCTCTAGAGGCTTTCTAAGAGCCTGGGGAGAGAGAAAAACCGGCCAATATGTAAACCAAAAGTTTGGGAAAAGACACTTGATTTGCACGTTTTTCACCCTCAGTGGGGAGAAAAATGGCCCAAAAGGCAACCGGAAGTCCATTGCCAAATTTCCAGTTTGCATGTTGGTCATTTTTTGCCTTCCCAGGCTCCTAGAAAGCCTTCGGAGCCTGGGGAGGACAAAAATGGACCTACCGGGCTCACTGGAGGGCAAAAAACAGACCAATGTGCAAATCGGAAGTCCATTATCAAACTTCAGGTTTGCGTGTTGGGCGGTTTTTCGGCTTGCGGAGGCAGGAGCCTCTGGAGCCTGAGGAGGGTGAAAAATGGACCTACTGGGCCCACCATTTCCAGCCTCTGGGTGGCAGAGGATGCCCTTGTTGCCCTCACTAGGCTCCAAGAAAGCTGCTCGTGCATGCACAGGGCAGTGGGGCAGTCTCACATGTGCATGGGGTATGGGGGGAGGCATTAAATTATGGGTGTGGGCATGCAAGCATGTGCGATAGCATGCTTGGTGTGCTTTTGGCACCTGAGGCAAAAACGGTTCGCCATCATTGTGATATCATAATATATAATATTATATATAAAGCTAATATATATATGGACTCTTTTACTGATAAAAGTAACAAGATGGGAAGCAATGAGAGGAAAAATTACAAACAAACATTACTGCTCTCTAATAGGTATATGTGTTCATGTGTGTACTGAAAATTCATATTGTTCTGTGGAAGAATGTAGAAATCAACTAAACTAATGAGAATTACCTTAATTTATTCTAATTTGGCAAAATAAGCCTGAAGGAATGAGTACTTTCAAGATTCCATTTTTGCATAACAGGTAAAACAAAACAACCACTTCACAAATGCATGCACAACATAGGAGAGCAAACTCTCAGGACAAGATTTAGCAGTCCATCAGCATTTGAAAAACAAAGGCAAGTCTTTTGAAGACCACAAAGTCCATATTATGGATGGAGAGGACCACTGGTTTGAAAGAGGTATAAAAGAGACCGTTTATGTTAACATTGAGCAGCTCTCTCTCTCAATAGAGAGGGAAGGATAAAACACTACCTATCTTCTGTCTACAACACAGTACTTTCAGCAGTTCCAAAAAAGGTCCCACCCCCATTTTCACTTTCATACAGGTGACCCTGAGGGCACAGATAAACCCCCAAGTGGACTCAAGAGCTTTAAGGGAAAGTGCTAACAACCAAAGGACTGCAAAGAGATATGATCCTTCCAAGCCACCCACCCCCAACCCCCATCCTGTGAGAACAAAAGCTTCCATCCCTCCCACCATCCTGCCAGAACCGATAAAGCTTCTTGGCGGAGAACTGAAACACCTTCTGTTTCTCAAGGAAAAAAACAGTCCCAGCTACCTTTTGAAAAAGCATCTTTGAGACAACTGTGACCTGGATGACTGAGAATCTTCACAGACACACATATGTTCTGAAACATTTTAACTTTACCTATGAGCATAATAATCCATTCTGGGAAAAGGATTCCAAAGCTTGAATAATCATATAGGACTGTTTGGTTTTCATTGTATAGGAATGTTGTGTCCTACTAAGGTGAAACTTAGATCACAGAAGAATCAATCATGCATCTGTTTAAATTATTTTGTTGAAACAAGTTAAGGGGGGGGGGACAGATTAGGAGGAAGGATGCATGAGTATAAAACAAATATGTGCTTGCTTTGGGAATACCAATTGACCAAGACAGTGCAAGTGGGAGTTAAAGGAAATTAATTTAAGAAGAAAGAAAAAAAAATCAAAGGCAAAGCTTCCTGCCAGTCCAACTGTACCTGACCACATGGAAGAAACCACATTTAAGACTCCAAGCATCTCTCTCTTCTTAGATTTTACCAGAATCCCCACTCCACCCCCAACAAGGACCAGAAGCAATGAAAAGCAAAAGATTAGTCAGTATATTATGTCATCCACAGACAAAAAGAACAGGAAACTTGTGTTTAAGGAGGAATGGCTTATTATTTGAACTGTGACAAAATATTGTAAGACCGTGATATATTTTTAGCAAGCCATATCACTTAATACGCTTTTAAATGTCTCTTTCTATTTAACACATAAAAATCCTTAGCAAAGTCAGGGGTTGAACCTTGGAAAGGCTGCAGGAAGCATGAAGAACCTAAGCCTAGACTCATTGGCATCAATGGGAATTTCTTCACAAAGCATCATTTCAGATTAAGACCTTTACTCAGGATTGGAGGGCTATTTTTCCATAGTTGCTATTATTCTAATTAACTAGGGATTAACTAGTCAATCCCTAACTATTTGATGCAATTTATTTATAATTTTAAAAACTAACCATTTCATGGTAGTCTTCAACCTACTACCACAATTGGGACCAGAATTTCAATTTGTTATCTTAAGTAAGTCCTTCCCAAATTTATGAGTTTCTGACCTCATTGACTTTGTTTATTGATCACAAGTAATGAGCACATAACCCTGAAAAACTGCAACCATTATAAATATATGACAATTGTCAAGCACCCAAATTTTGATCATGTAATTGATGCTGTGATGGTTGTAAGTCCAAGGGCCGGTCACAGTTTCTTCTTCAGAGTCATTCTAATTTTGAATGATCACTAAATGAATGGTTTAGTTGAAAACTATCTGTAGAAGCCTCAATGATTTACGGTAATATCATTCAATATTCTTCCTTCCCCCTTGTCTTTGAGTTCCTTTTTTACCATGTTATTATTTCCTCCATCTAATTAAACCTTCTTTTCCATGTAGTCTCTCTGCTGTCTAATATGAAGCCTAAACCTAAATTATATTTCTTATTAATTTCTGCATAGGTCAATTAAAAGATTCTTGCTAGGAAGTAGGGGAAGACAGATGAGAAAACATAAGCATATTGTATCAGAACAATGATGTTGCTTAGAAATATGTACTTATGCGAAAGTGAAAACTGAACATCAGGGAATAATAATGACATATTTAACAGTGTAGTATAGCTTATGTAGTAGTCCCCAAATGTTCCTAACAAAATTTCAATATTTATGTTGTACTGCATACAAAATCTATATACATTACAGGATAAAAATGTTGACTATGCTGTATATTTTCCATATAGAATTAATGGATGAATAAAGCAGTTAAAAATTGCATTTTGAAACCCTGTTTGAACTTGTTCAGTTTGCCAAAGCAGAGTTATTCCTTTTGATGCATGGCAGAATAAAGAAATGCTCTAACAAAACAATGTCTAAGTGATGCAAATCTGTTTTTTCTTCATGTGGAGTAGTATAATTCTCCTGCATGATAACAGGGTACATAGCATAGGGATTGCTGTATGTTAACATTAACTAATAATCCGTGGTATCTATTAGTGAACAGGTGGTCTTTAGAAAAGAGTTTACATGTTCAAAGCACTAATGCACTGAAGTCTTAGCTAATACCAGGATATATCTTGATTTTGGGGGCATTTTAATTCAGCTTTCATGAGTGTGCTATGATCTCATGATTCAGTGATCAAAATTATGTTGGCTTCATAAACGAAAACTGCACCCTAGACAACAAAAACAGGAAAATTTAAATAATTTATGTAAAAAAATGAGCATTTTACAGTTATTATATACTTCAGAACAAGGTGTCTTTTCCCGAATTATATGTTAACATTTCCCTATGTTCGTAAAGATTATGGCTTCTAGAAATTGCTCTCAGAAGATTAATGTTTTGTAGGGACCTAAGAGTTCTTTCCCGTGATACATTGCTTTAGTTCTTAGAGATATGCTATAATTAGAGATGTTCATGTAGTGGGTCTGTCTTGATGTCTTTAAGAAAAAACTAGAGTTGGGTGATTGAGAATGTGCTTTGTATGGAAAGGCTTGAAGTTTACATTTTTGTATCACATAGATGGCATTCCCTAACATTTTTGGTCTGTTGGGAAGGATTCAGGAAACATTTGCTAGATATTTATATTCAGCACTTAACTTCTATATAATTTACAGACTACCATCATCTGATATTCATGATACAATGTTGATAATATTAATATTGATGGTGTATTGCTACATAGTAGTATGTATGTGTTTTAATTCAGGAGTATGCAACCTGTCTGATTATCTAACATCTGATCTTCAAAAATAATTTAGAAAAATTTATATTAATTTCATGTATTCATTCACTCAAACAAGCAGATTATTATGGCCTTTTTTAACTTTCTGAAATTGGAATATAAAGAAAAATGTCATATTAAAATCTAAGCTCTTCAGAAAATTCATTCTGTTTTGAAATAGGCAGTTTTACATCAATTTGTACAAGCTTCATTGTTTAACAAATACATTCATAAACACTGTAAAAAAATACCAAGCTATTTACATTCGTGTTTATTGTGTTTGTAATACAATAAACTTGGATTTAAATCCAGATTTCAGTGAATGGCCTTATACAGGTCCCCATCTCTCAGCTTTTATTTGCAGCTTGGGAAAAATGGCAATATAGATGCCATAGTCATTCAATTATATTATAATGAGTTAACCAAATTCTTATAGCTTACTAACATCAAATGTTACATACTATAGACAAGCTCAAGCTCTATCCTTATAGAAATACCAACAGTTAGAATGACTGTTTCCTCCCCAGTGCATAACATGGGTGGGAGGATTTGGATGAAGCTCATCTTTTTCTCCTCAACCTGCATGCTTACTTCTACATCATAGTTACCTTATATGAATGGAAACTTTTTCCTAAGCTTCAGTCAGCTGAAAATGGTAACCTCTTCTGGCCCAACAATTCTGAGCTCTGGAGGAATAGTAATATGAGTTTGTGGGGAAAAAAGAGACTGGAATAATGTTGGATAAATAAAATGCCTATATGCCTATATGTGAATGTGTGAAAAAGATGGGTACACTGATTTTTACCCATAAACTAGTGGAAAATAGTTCTGAAGAAGTTAAATACTAAGGTATTCTTGTGGAAACATCTATTATATCAGGTATAATACTGTAGAATGGACACCATCCATTTTTGCTTAGTACTGAAAGTTGGAGGAAAGGACAGAGACCAAAGCTAGCCTTCTAAATATTACTTCTTACCTTTGTGGTCCACAATTTGACGGTCCAATCAAATGATGATGTAACAAATAGATGAGAGAAATCAATTGGACCCACTGCCATGTGGCAATTGATTCCTGTCACTGGGCCCTGGTGACCTTCAAAAACTTCTCCAATCCCTGCTTTACTGTAGAAAAAAATAATTTCATTTAGAAAACCTTCATATTTTTCCTCACTAAAAATGCTATGATATAAGCATTCCATTTTCAAAATCTGTAACACTAAAGTCACCTGTTCTTGCAAAGAAGATGTCCATAGCAAACTAACAATGTCTGAAATGTTTTAGTGTAGCCTGAGATATAAGCTCTGGTTTCCTATATTGAATAGCATCCTATGGCTTTTTCATCTTGACTCAGTGAAAAAGTCATAAAATATACTATGGTTTGGACTGTATCTCTATTACCTGTATACATATATCATTCAAGTGTAGAAGCACAAACATCTTATTGCACTGCTAAAATTTCTATAAATAAGACTAATAAAATGTACAGAACATCCCAAATAGCAGAATTTTTATGATTAAAAAGAAAGCTAATGATTATAACGGTTAAGCAAGTTCTAAAAAAAGGAACGGTTCATGAACATATTTCACTTATAAAGTAAAAGTTATTATTTCCTATTCATTTTTGGAGACTATTCTAAAAAGCAGCATATGAGTTTTACTGATATATATGCAGTCACTGATCATCTGGTATTTTTCTCTTCCCCACACAAACAGCAATTATGGAGATAAGTAAGAACTTCAGTATTCCATAAGAACAAATACAGCAACAACAATGAATATTTGTAGTATTTTAAAGATAAGTAATTGAGAACCAGATCATTTTAGTGGTTTAGCACTATCAGTAGGCCAGAAATTGGGACAATGTGAGTTCTAATTTTACCTTAGGCATGAAAGCCAACTAAGTGATTGTTAGCCAGATACTTTCTCTTAGCCCAACCCACGTCACAGGGTTGTTGAGGGGAAAAGTAGGAGGAAGAAATTTTAAATATATTTGGTGAAATGAATTATTAATAAAAATAATAAGTGATAAGATAGATAGGCAGATAAAGATTGATAAATCATAGATGATAGATAGATAGATTAGATAGATTAGATAGATTAGATAGATAGATAGATAGATAGATAGATAGATAGATAGATAGATAGACAGACAGACAGATAGATAGATAGAGTCATGAATATTTGTGAACTCACATAAAGTCTCTGCTCCAGATAAAATCAGAAATATTTAAAAAAATTACCTAAAGCCATTAATTACTGGAAGATCTCCTGCATGATTTCAACCATTTTACCACATTGTAACCTACAGAAATGCCATAAGCACAATCATATAGCCAAAAAAAAAAAGGTGGGTGGGAGAAAGTACCTTCCATGGCGACAAGCTGTGTAGACAGTGCCCTCTTCACTTCCAACTACAAAGTTGTTAACATCTCCAGTTGGGAAAGCCATTCCAGTAACTGCCACTGGCTTGGATTTATTATATACTAGCTCCATACTCTCCTAAAATAAGTTAGAAACATTTCTTTTCAATTGGTTGTTTCTAGAGCACAGTAAGATTGGGACAAGAGAGAGACGTAATGAAATTTCTCCAGCCCGAAGAATTTACCTGCAGATTCCTGAGGATCTAATCATATTAAAAAGTATTGCTGGGAAGCTTAAATGAAAGGACACACTAAGTCTTTTTTTACTTCCAGAAATACTCTGCAGGTCATAGGTTTTTGCTACTAATGCTATTTGTTTCTTGCTGATCAACAGATTATGCTGAGATTTAGTGGTGAAGAAAATGGAATGGAATCTCTATGGTTCTGGGGAAATCATTGTTTTTCTCCCTTCTACCACAGGTGGGTTGCTACTGGTTTGTCCTTGGTTGGTTTGTTGGCCTGGGTCACAGAACTGGCAGCGACCCAGGTTGGCCATGCCTCCGAACCGGTTCCCCAGTTGCCACCCTCATTGCCTGCATGGTTTTTTGTCCTTTTTTAAATATTCTCCACATGCACAGAACATTTTACAAGTAACTGTCCATGTGTGCACAGCGCACGAAGCACGCGTGAAACGAACCAGCAATAATGGTGGTAGCAATCCACCCCTGCATTCTACCTATAAAAATCTTGCCTAGAGGTGACACTAATTATCAAGGAAAATTGCAACCTTATTTATGATTCTGAAACAGTATTTAAATCTATGAGCTAATATAATAATCTTCCTTTATGGTGTTCTTGCACTCAAAATTTCACTTTGGTAGAAACTGTTCTAAAATTACTTTCATTACCACTTTTTCTTTGTTTCTTTCATCTGGCTTCCACCATTTCCTACATAGGTCTTCCAATCTTTCCACAATTGACAGTTCCCTTCATGTTTATCATATATGTAGTTCCTAAGCCTCTACCTGTAGGTATAATAAATTGTATCATACTTCTATAGCAGTGGTGGGTTTCAAATTTTTTTAGAACCTCTTCTGTAGGTGTGGCCTGCTTTGTGGGAGTGGCTTGCCAGACATGTAACCAGATGGGAGTGGCTTGCCAGCCATGTGACTGGTTGGGCATGGCCAACTTGTAAAACGTGGTGAAACTCACTTAACAATGCTCTTGCTTAGCAACCAAAATGTTGGCTCAGAAACTCTGGCATTTGAAGCACGCAAGCCTTAAAGCTGTAAAGTTACAAGACCCTTGCACCCCTAACCCTTTAGAAAAAAAACTCAGGGGTGTTCAAACTTGACAGCTTTAAGACTTATGGACTTCAACTCCCAGAATTCTTCCTCTCGCTCTTCATCTTGATGATGTCCGTACGGGCAGGGGGAGGGAGCTGGAACCAGTTCTAAATGGCACTGTAAATTTGTGGAACCTCTTCTATAGAAGAGGTTAGAACTGCCAGGAACTGCTCTATAGGATCACCTCTTTAACATGGAAATTATCCATTATTATTAGTTGAAGGGAAAGGCTAATCTTACTAATTAATCTTAGTGCTATTAAGCATGGCCTAATGTGACCACCCTTTCACTCTCAGGCCATTTACAATAGGTGGTAACTCTTTCAAACATAGTAAAATAGGCTTCTATATTTTTTTTTATTTGTTAACTTAGGAAATTTGATATCTTTGGGACCATCTTCCCTTTCTATTTGTTCTGAAATCCCTAGAGGTGAATAGGTCTCTCCTGGTGGCCAGACTGTAAGTAAGTCTATCAGACCCCTAAATCTTCTCATTTCTCTTTTACTCTTTTCCATTCTAGCCAATCTTTCCTCTGGGTCTCCCCCCAAAGCTGGTCTTCTCCTTCTTTTTTAATTAATCAAAGCTTTTCCTCTTGCTGCTGCTCCAACATTTCTGTAATGATATTGGTCCAAGTACCCAAACCTAATCCCTTTTTTGACTGTGTAGTTTTCCAGAAGGATGAAGAGGGCTCTCTACTAGACCTGACCTAAGAAAAAAGTGGTTCAAACGGTAAAAGTACTGGAATTTGGGGCTTGACTGTGTCACCTTGAATTCCAGACATTACATAAAGAGAAATCGCAGCACAGTTATACATGCAGATCAGCTATAGCATCTAGTTTCAATAACTTAGAGAAACACAAGTCAGGAATGGCATGGATAGAAATTAAGTCAGAGAGAGATCAAGGGAGAAAACTTAAGGTACTTAACTGAATTTGAAAATCTTATCAGCCATAATTTGAAATAACTACTGGGACCAAGTGTAACTCAGAAATGGAAAAAGTCAAAGCTGTACTGTATGTACAGATGTGGCACAATTGCTCAGTGATATAAGAGTCAGTGAGTTTCAATTATAAGGAAGTAGACTTCCTTGGACTGGGCATCAGAAAAATATCCCTTTTATATGTAAGTGTTTTGAGATACCCAGACCAGACACATTCAAAAAATGCTATACTACCTTTATTGTAAGCTTACAGTAACAGAATCATGCAATTCTGAAAGAACTTTTACTCTCCCTACCTAGGGACAGTCTCCTTCAGTCTCAGATTTATCTGATAAATGTCTATGCTGCTTCTCTTCCTCTTGCCTCCCAAGGTCATTCTCAAATTCCATTACATTGTGTCAGGAATGTTCTTCAAATGAATGGGTGGGCATTGAGAGAGATGATTCCCCAAGTCTCTTCCAATTCCTACAGTCTGTGAGTACTAACTTTAGTATACTCTATAATTTCTTCTCTTACCTAAGCAAAGATAGACAATTTAGAAGTTTCCTATTTCCTATATTTTGCTAGAGCTAGCACTGCTTAGTTCTTCAATTTTTACCTATTTATTTCAGTCTCTTAAGTTCCATCCCAATACTGTACTAAGTACACTATTGTATTGAGTACATTTTCTATGACTTTCAGATGGAAGAGACACACTCACATACACAGAGATGGAACACACACACACAAAATTGCAGCAGGAGCCTAAAATGAGCTTAGTAGTTCTAGAGAACAAAAGTTTCTACTCCAGCATAAAAACACATCACACTCTCTCTCACCCCTTTTGTATGTATGACAGAGATCAACCCATTTTGCCATCTATCAATTGGTGCTCTGCTCATTGACCAATGTCTTTAAGTGTAGTCCAGTTTTTTTTAAAAAAAATATACAGGCAGTCCTTGACTTACAATCACAATTGTGCCCAGAAGTTCTGTTGCTAAGAGAAACATTTGTTAAGTGAAGGTTGTCCCATTTTATGACCTTTCTTGCCACGGTTGTTAAGTGAATCAGTGCAGTTGTTAAATTATTAGCATGGTTGTTAAATGAATCTGGTTTCTCCATTGACTTTGCTTGTCAGTGGTCGCAAAAGGGATTGACATGATCCTAGGACACTGCCACCATCATAAATTTGAACCAGTTGCCAAGCATCTGAATTATGATCACATGATTATGGGGATACTGCAATGGTCATAAGTGTGAAAAATGGTCATAAGTCACTTTCTTCAGTGCTGTTGTAACTTAGAATGGTCACTAAATGAACTGTTGTAAGTCGAGGACTATTATAGCGCCTATCCGTGTTCTACATGAATGTAACTTGATATGGAAGACAAACACACTCCTATCAACCTTTGTCTCTCTTATATTTCACTGCTTTCATTAGTTCAATAAATTTATGTAGCAGGTTCATTTCTGGTATCAGGAATGGAGAGAATAAAGCTGCTTAAAATAACAAACTATTTTACCAAGGAGGAGGAATTGTTTTCTCCCTATCCTTATATGAGTTACTTCATATAAAGAATAAATGTCAACGTTGGCTATATATAACTTGAACAAACCTGTGGATTCTGTTTCAGAACATTTGTTAATAAGAATAGAATAGAATAGAATAGAATAGAACAACAGAGTTGAAAGGAACCTTGGAGGTCTTCTAGTACAACCCCCTGCCTAGGCAGGAAACCCTACATCACTTCAGACAAATGGTTATCCAACATCTTTTTAAAAACTTTCAGTGTTAAAGCACTCACAACTTCTGGAGGCAAGTTGTTCCACTGATTAATTGTTCTAACTGTCAGGAAATTTCTCCTTAGTTCTAAGTTGCTTCTCTCCTTGATTAGTTTCTACCCATTGCTTCCTGTCCTACCCTCGGGTACTTTGGAGAATATCTTGACTCAGTGGTGGGATTCAGCCAGTTCACATCCCTTCGGCAGAACCGGTTTTTAACTTTCTGAGCAGTTTGGTGAACTGGTTGTTGGAAGAAATCATTAGGGCAGAGAACCGGTTCTTAAATTATTTGAATCCTACCACTGGCTTGACTCCCTCTTCTTTGTGGCAGACATAGAATAGATTTGATAAAAGTGCCATATCTGATCTCCAAACATCTGGATTACCATATGATGGCAGGAAATAGATTTTTGCAGCCTAGATATTATAGATTTCAACTTACTCTACTTCCCTGCTTTCTGATATATGTATTACAACCTGTAATGTTTTCAGCTAATTTTTTAAGGTCTGTATTTTTTTCTTCTATTCAATTGTGTCTGAAGCTTGGCGTAAGCATGGAAGAGTTCCCGCAATTTTCTTAGCAAGATTTTCTCAGAAGTGGTTTTTCATTCTTCTCCTTCTTAGGGCTAAGAGAAAGTGATTAGCCTAAGCTCATCTAGCTAGCTTTGCCCCTAAGGCAGGATAAAATTCATGATCTCCAGTTTCTAGAGTGTTGTCGTGACTACTACACCACTACACCAAATTATTCTGTTTTGCATATAAAGATCTGCTATTTCAAGTTGTTTTTTTCTCATATTGTGTGCTTCACCACTTTCATTTTCCTACTTTCTTATGAACCAGCCCCCATGTGAGTCTGTAATAGTGTGAAATTTGTAGCATAAATAGCTAACAACAATTGACAACAAATGGCTAATTTTACAATATTGAGCATTTGAATTTCCCTCATCTAATTTAGTAAGCAGAAGGTTCCATGTACATTTTTTTCATGAACATTTCAAAACAAACATCAGATATTTCAGATGTGTGCACACTTGAGACAAAAATGTAACAAAATAATTATAACTAAATATAAGAGCTAAGATCAACTTTATTT